GTTCACACATCTGTTTCACAGTAACTTGCTTGTACTACTTAAGGTAGCATAGTCATATTTTAGAAAGATTTCTCACTGAAGTTCTAAGATCTTTAATTTTTGTTTTGCAATCAACACTCTATTATTCTCCACGATTTTTCATAAATCACTTATATTTGGAACAGCAATAGCAAACGAATTCTGGGTTTTTTTCCATTTTTATTTAGTCATTTCATGACAAAATGTCTGATTTAAACTGATAGTGAAATATTTCACTTTACTACTAAATTTGAAAAATAGTTCCAAAATCATTTTTTTCTCAATTGTTTTAATTTTGACGTGTTAGCATGATGTTACTCGTTTAAATTAGAAAATTAGTTTAAATGCAAAAAACATTATGCAGATGAATCATCGATAAGTTAAATAAAACTAATAAAACTCATATAAAATATGTTGAATATTTTGCTCAAAACTGCGAAACCCAATAAAAAGGGATCGGCTGTCTTCAGTCGCTGGTCTACTTTTAATCAGTTTAATTAATAGGATTATAATTATAAGACAGATCTGCTTGTCTGAGGCTGAAGGTGAGAAAGAGCTTTTTATAACATGATGCATAAATAGAAAAGACATTGTTTTTAAGGCATATATGCCTGTATTGCTGTGTTATACACGCAGGCATTAAGGGAAGATGTTTGAAATGAGATAAGCAAAGTTAGTTCCCTGAATACAAAGAATATGATACTGTCTAGTTGCATTTCACATTGTGAAAGTAATATATTTTGTTTTCAAGTGTTTGGATTGTCACGATATTTTCATATTATTAAGTTCACCAGACAAATTAAAGGTGACGACATGATTTAAAGTTAATTAAAACTAGCAGATTCAAATATACCAAAACATTATAAATACTCCTCAAAGTTGAAACGAAAAGACAACAAAAGGAACAGAGTAACAATTTGAAAATGTTTGCTTCCGTATTGAACTTTCTTTTGGTTTTGTATTCCGATATAAACACATTGTGGGCGACACATCTTGTTTAAAAAGATAAGGCAGTATGTGGTTATGTTAGTTCAGGTCTTGTCACAAACACGCCCCCGCCATGTCAATTGTTGTTTGCTTCCTTCATGTGAATGGATACCAAGAAAGACAAAATTCACTGATAGTCATCACGACAAAGTAAAAAGGAACAGTAACTTTTGTTGTATCCTTGATAGATATAATATATAGAAATAGATATGAACGCCTTGATCACGTTATTGACATTAATGAAAAAAAATAAAAAATCTGCACGATTTCTCCCACACAAAGCATTGTCCTCGATGTAGAATGACGGATCTGGTACAAAACGTAGCTTATTATATCCTATCTGTTTCTATTTGTCAAAGGCTGTGGGATGTCATCTATTAATTATTCGCGCGTACAATATGATATTTGCATGCTGTTCTAATAACTTCTAGTGCCTAAACAGAAACATGTACATGCATCTCCGGTTGGTTTAGAGATGGAGATGGTTCAATGAAAGATATGCAAAATAAGGAAAGTGTATTTTATTGTTGGATGTTTTGCGGTTAAATCTATTAAAAATACAACAAAATGTATCTGGAATCACGTATTATAACGGGTTTATCTTAATAAAAATATGTCTTTTAAATCAGCAAGTGGAGTGCTACAATACAATTGATATGACAAAATGTAATTTCAATAATTTGTCAGGCGATAATAAGAAATGTCTAGAAATCGTTTCGATGTTGTACAATGTAATTATGTAAACTTTTGTAACTACGGCGTTTACCTGTAATCGGATACGAGTTGAGGAAGATTATTTACAAGTTTATGACCACCATCATAATATAATTTCGGAAACATTCCTTGTCCTTGTATCATATGAAGGTCGATGTTTTGATTTTACTTGTTTTAAGTTTTCTGTTGTAACTATCCCGATTATCATTTTGAGGACGCGACATTACCTGGATTTTACTTAGGTTTACACGAAGAGTGGTGTCAATGAAGAAGTAAACGCTTACCCTTTGGAACATCAAACCTCATTCTATTAGTCCGGTACATTTTAAAGGGTATTTATGTTAAAACGTTCCTAAGTTCTTATTTTGCTAAGTTGTTAATTGCCCATTTTGAGTTCTTATCATGGTGTGTGGGTGTGTGTTACGTTCATCTTTGGTTATCATCTCCAACCAATAAAACAGACATGTCAAAAGGCGTTTCAATTGTTGGCACTGTCCATTAAATATGGGCAAAGTCCTTGATAAATACAAATTTGTTTTAACAGGATTCTACAACGCCCAAGTTTAATAGTCTAACATACAAACCGCCTTTTCTTTCTTTTCAATGCAATTTCTCGGAGATAAGCAGAGATTCTATATAATGTTCACACACCTTTTGTTACAGCGTGATAGTACAACGCCCACTTTTTAAAAAATATTTTAAACAAATTGTCTCTGTTTAAGTTTCGGGAAAAGTCTTCAGAGATAAACGAATGTCCTTAATACTATAAATGTATAGTTTATAGGGTACAATAATGCTCACATTCAAAACATCTTACAAAATTAAGCACGATCCACCATGCACACAAACTTCAGTGTAACAATAACTGAATATCAATGCAACGAAAAACACTGATCAAACATTTGTAGTTTAAAATGAAAAAGTAATGCCGAAGCGAACTCTTTTTTAAGGATGCAAAATAAATCATGTTTATCAAAGAGAAATAAGACAAGATGATTGGTTCTTCTAAGGTAAATGTAAAAACAAAATCCGCATTTGAATATGCTTATCAATGGTGTCGCGAATAAAAGACGTAACATTTGAAAAAAAAAAATTGCCAACTGTTTGAATGCAACAACTGTTTTCGTATCAAGATTACCAGAAATATGTTCTTGCTTAGGACGTCTACAAATAATCATTTTAGTTTAAACTGTATGTATTCAAGTAACGAAATACATGGCATGAATAATACAAAACACATTAGCAAACATGACACGGAAACAAGTACTGTGTCCTTATATAAATCTTTCTCATCTTTCTCACAAACTAGTGGCCTTGTAGATTACTAACAATTGATAATACTACATGTATATTTAAACAAATGAAGAAAAGAAAACCATTTGGTAAGGGACATGTTACGAAAGATAAATTGCTGTTCCATGAAAAGGTAAGTCATTTTATCATCATGACAGAATTTGTGAGGTTTTCACAATTTCGTTTTTATCAACATTTTTATACTTGTATTGATTAACCAAAACGCTTAAACTGGATAATGAAGTTTATTTTGGATATACCAAAACTATATTTTTTATTAAAAGTGCTACCTCTTGTGATATCTAAATATATGTCATGCTGAAATGCTAGTAGCATTTAATGCATATATATAACCTTTATATTTTGACGTATGAGATTGGAATTTAAGACTTACTTTATTGTCAACATATGATATCGTCCATTTATACATATATTCACCTAAATAAAATATATCTGACTGTAGAACAATGATTGAGGATTGCATTTAAAAAAAAACAAAAACAACATCAATACAATGCGTAAGTAAAATAAAGACACGTTAATCCGAGCAAAAAAAGGACACATTACCCAATGAAAAATGAATAAACCTTGGAGAATACAAAAGAAATCGGCGAAAAAAGAACGTTATCACAGTCCCATCTTAACAAATATACCCTATCAACGTCGAACTTACAATTAAAAATCACTCCATGCATATTTGTCACTACAATGAAACTTTTTTTCCCTGTCACACCCTACCAAAAATAATTGTCATAATGGTCTTACTCTCACAAACAATTAGTTTCCAAAATTGAGATGTTTTACTCACCTGGTCCTCTGTTTCATCAATAGTTTAGGCAGTTAGGGTTTCCAACTTTTTCGCCGCTAGCATCATATTGATGAGTCCTAGAAGGAACACCTTTTATGCCGTGTAACTCCTTTCCGACATATTTTATCTAATTACCCAATTTTAAAGATGTATTATGTGCGTGTTACGTTTATTTCTCATAAAATTCACCACCATAAGTATTCATTTGCATTGTCCTACCGTCATAAAAATTCAATATCACAGGCATCCGAAGAATCATCGTCACATAATTTAAAAAAAATACAATAACCATCAACGCCACGCTATTATAACAAAATACTACATTGTTTCAAAGAAAATAATCATAAAATCACTTTCATACAATCATTACATACGCTATGTTTTTTCACATTGCTATAAAAAGTAACCCTAATTATAAGGACATCCTTTAAAAATACAATAATTTTGCCATGTTATTATAAAATAAACAATAATTGCCACGTTATACAAACAACGTTATCCTGTTATTCAACAATAGGCATATGTATTTGAAACTGTTACAAGAGCAAATATTACGAAATTTGTGTATTATATTTTTCTCATTCACATAAATATTCGTCGTTTTGCTATTAATGTTACTTGGTTATCGTCTTTTTATATATTAAATGACACGTCAAATTACTAAATTACATATTTATAAAACATTCTATAAAAAAATATATATATATTGTCAATATTTTATGGAATCGCAAATCGCAATTAATTATATATGTATGGAAACACAGTGACTTTAAATCAGTTGGGTGTTCAACATTGTTTGATTTCTAAAGAAAATGATCTCAGTAGTTTTTTCTCTATGTAAACGACCTCAAACATCTTACATAAAATGTTTAAGAATGTTCTTCTTTGTTTTGATACAGTGTTCGCTGTTTGTCGCTTGTTTGGTAGTTTTTCCCTGCTTCCGACCAACCCATGCCCCGATTTCTGGATAAACCTTGCTAGATCAAGGAACTTAAATCATTATATCGCCAATGTACTCGTTTTACATAATGAAAATTCATGTATGTACACTTCCTCTATGAACAGGATAGAGCATTCAGGAGGAAAGTCCAAGAACCGGTCCAAGATGGAAATCCATCGCTTGTCAGTATAAATTCACTCAAAAATAAGCAAAACCATATTTCAGACAACTGTGACATCGGTTAAAAGTCTACAGATAATAATAAGTAATAATACTTTAAGAATGATTCGTCTCGCCAGCCTGCTGCTCTCTCTACAGGTAATATGCATCAGTGTATAAACAGATGTATAATGAGTCTTAATCATGGGTGAATGTGCATAACATGTCGTAATATTCATTATGAAGTAGTAGTCACCCATATCGACGGGAGATGAGACAGTGCTGCTTCTTCCGTTGGTTTATTAGCTGTAAAGTTTCTTCATTTTAGAGAAAAAAAATCCATTCTGTACAGAGGAACGTTTGAAATATATTATAATAGCATATAACTTTCTGTACATTTGTGAAGTTAGTAGTCGGCTATTTGCATTATTATTTGAAAGAACAGTTTTTCAGTAAAGGAATCTGGTTGTAAAAATATTCATTTAGACTTGATAGCGACATATACGTTTTCAGCGCATTGCATTAATGTTTGAACGTTTGTAGATACAAACGAATGTTAGACATTTATGTTAATAATATATACTAAAATCACTTCATTTTCGTAAATTAAATAATTTTGTTATTAGGCATTTACTGGCTAGCTATTCGCAGGTTTTTGAATTAGCGAAAGAACTTTATCATTTGTTTTTATTTCTGTTTATTCTGTGATCTTATATTCTCCACTGGGAACTCACTTTCCATTCACTTTCTAACAGATTGAAAAGTAAACTCTATTTGTGTTTTTGTTTAAAAAAAAAAACCATCAGCCGGGTAAACTTTTTTTACGATCGAGATGTCAGGATGTTAGATCTAAGTAAAGAACAAATACAAATATAAAGGACGGTGGCAAAATGTTCGAGTTATCCGAGGTCAAGATAAGCAAGTCTATCGGTATCTACTAACAAATACATTGTAGTAGATCTGTTTTGTTAATGTTAGACAATGATCACCGTCACCACGCGTTGACACATTTGATACATGTTTCAGCGATAAATATTCTTTCGGGTCATTTCAGAGGCCAAAATAGTAATAGATACGGGAGGAAGGCTTGTATCATTTCTGTTTATCGTCAGGTGTCATTCATAAAATCATTGTGGATCATCATCTGCTCAGAAGCAAGTAAGCGTGACCACGGTTACTTGAGCTGTTTATTTGTGTCACTGAATTTTAAAGAGAGGATAATTGCTGTAATGCTACGCCTGTCTTTTGTAATGGCGTCACGTTACTACGGGGGTGATGTAAATAAACATTTAGATACAGATCTCAAATAACATGTAAAAAGTTTGATAGCTGTGTAACGAAATTATAACTGTAATTAACCCATTCATCCCTATGTAACTTTAGTAGAATCGGCCATGCATTGTTCTGGATGAGTCCATTTTGGTATATGGTGTTAAAGGGGTTAAACATACCGCAAAAACAATGATCTATTTATACATTTTGCTTCATGATAACAGCAATAAACATCCATAGGCGGTATAAAATGTTTTAAGATTTACAACAACAAAAACAATTACCTTGTCGTGAGAGGCATAATTAATCCACAAACGGCACAACGAATTATTCTCTTTAATCTCACAGATTGACAAAGATATAGCGGACATTTATTGCGTTCATCAACGACAAAAGTACACTCTGTTGACATAACAAACAAACTAAAAGATAATATCGAAAGGCAATCCAGTACATGTTGATGTAAAAAATGTAATAAACTGAAAAGTCGTGACTTCATACACTTTTTGTAAGTAAAGTAAAATGTAACAGGAAATGAAAAATTACATTTTTTTTTATTTTTGCGGTTATTTGATTAAAGATAATTGATGAATTCAAAGTATTTGAATATTGAATAAATAACATCGTGATTCACTTTTATAAGAAAAAAACAGAAATGTTCTTCAAGAGTTTAAAATCCCATGTATAAATCAAACACTATCACAATATACGTGAATTTTATAGATAAAATCAAACGTATGCTTCCTTCCAGGCGATATTGATCCTGTTAAATGGCCAGTTGACCAGAGCCACATGGTGCCGTAACCCGGGTGTTAGCCAAATGAACAACCTTACCCGAACCCTTCTACAAGGAAGTAATCTCTGGCTATCATATCAAGCGGCGGATATGGATACGAGCGATATTTACACGTAAGTACACACCTAATAAAGATATATCATTTATCTTAACATTAAAAACACGATAGGGAATCTAAATTTCATACATCAATTCTATTAACAAAAAAATCAAGCTCAATTTCTATGCGAGGATGATTGGCATGCGTACATTCCTTTTGTCAAGAACACAATTGGGTAGCTGTGTGTCCTACGTCACTTCCGGAATAACATTAGAAGCCAATCAGGTGTCGAAGCTTTTCACGTGATTGCAGATGTTATAATTGTTTAGGCGTCACCCATGTTTCTCTGATATTACTGACACCGATAATCTTATTTGATAACCCTGATGATTTACATTATTTAGGTTTCAATTTTAAATATCTGACAAAGCCATGAATTGCTCCATAAACATCCACATCCAGTACTGTTTGTTACGAGGAAGACTGTCGATTGGCCAGATGGACGTGTTCCTTCCTTGTTGGGTTTTTATTTGAAGTTATTTTTCATGAGCCAAAGGGATATTATATCTTCTCATTTGGTCTAGAAGTCATGTGGTCCAGGCAAACGCTTGTATGCTACCGTGTTTTTTTCGTTAGGGTTCCCTTCTTTCGGTGTCCCCTAAGATCTTGCTTCGATTAGAAATTCGTATTTGGACGTTATTTATTACTTAAATCCTGTTTAAGTGAAAGACCCATTATTGATGAATATTTGCATGCTAATAAATGCCAAGTCTCTTTTTAACAAAAACTTATTTTGCGAACTTTCGAAAACGACGATTTCCTTTGTCAAGCAAGGTATTTTTCATACCGAACTGGTGAATCTCGTTCCAAATCGGCATCTGTTTTAATATAATTAATACAGTATCAATGCAAAAACAACACAAAGACCTCATAATAATAATGATGAACAGTTTGAGTAAAGAGAAGTGACGATGCCTCATATTCAAAGAGTGACACTCAGTGGAACAAACATGCTTGGTAGGGTGTTTAGTAGGATTTAATTGAATGTGAGAATCCTTAACCTAAATATGATATTGCTCTGATAAACTTATGAAACATTTTACAGTGAACGTGCGCGGACTTAATCATCCAATAATAAGGCCAAAACGATAAGAACAGAAGTATCTCTGTGTTGTACAAATATATTAAAAAAACTCTTCTGTCGGAATAGGAATTTGAAACACATCAAAGCGCAAAACGATATCTTCCTAATATCATACTGAACGCTTGTTTTATATCCATTCTTTAAATTTTAGAAAGAATAATAGGAAAACCTTTTTTTGCAATTGATTATTTTTTCAGCGGTTTAGAGTCGAATCACCGGTCATTTACACTCTTTGCTTGACAAAGGAAACAGATGTTTTCGAAAGCTCGCAAAATAAGTTTTCAATTGCTGTTTGTGTTCAAAATAAACTTAGCCTTTATTAATCATACTTACATGATGAATCTTATTGCGAATTAATTATTTTCTTCTACAAAGAGGCCTTTATTGAAAATAAGCAAACTTCAATTAGGCAATGCATGAGTCTAGAGTAATAATAATAATAATAGCATACAACATTTGATATAGCGCCCTATCTAGCTAACATAAGCCACTATAAAGCGCTTCACAGTACATAGATATACAATTAACACAAGTAGGATATACAATTTTTGAGGAATTCGCAGGAGCTGCCTTATCAGGCGCTAACTACTAGTCCTATGTCACCTGGCTAATATCTCCCTATATGTGTGTATGCCTGCGTGTGTGATGGAGATGTATTGTTGTTTGTTCATGTTAAATAGGAACTGAACCAAATCAACACTGAAAAGTCATTAAGTGTCGATTTGCAAATAGTTTGAGGAAAAAGAAATAAAACTACAGTATGTACTATAAAATACATAAACAAAGTGTAAATCTGTAGAAACGTCAGCACGTAATATTTGGACCAAACTTTTTTCCAATATTTCAAAATCTTAAAAATTCAAATTGGATACGATTCGCCTACCTTTTAAAAAGAAGAGTAACAGAAATTTTGTTTAATATTATCATAAGATATATGAAGGAAGGAAGCGCTTATTTAAATATTCTGTTTGCAAATGTAAATGGGCCATATAAGAAAATATGTTCTTCAGCAAATGACCATTTCGTCCATTAAGACTCAACAGAAGTATTAAAGGTCAAAAGAATCAGATCCATGTTTTAAATATTTCGAATCATTTCTAGAATACAGCGACAAGGAGTAGGAGCCAATAAATCAGTTCTGTGTCCATATTTATGAAACCATTCTCATGCTCAAACTCAGATTGTGTGCTTATGCACAATATCTTATTCCGTGATAAGTAAATAAAAATATCTTATTTTGTCAACGATTTGGGAATATTATGGACAGAATATTTTTTTCAAATATTTGTACTTGACCTTTTTACCGTATTATGTGATTGAGCTGAGTTACAAGAAAGTTGGCTTGAGCACAGAATTCATGCTTGAGCATGAGAACGGTTTCATGAATACGGGCCCTGATTTCTGTTAGTGTTAGTTATGCTTTCTCGCTGGAAAAATTATCAGTCCCAGCTTTGCTGAATTGTGATTTTGATATTGTTATATATATGATACCTTTAACTTGCTAAGAAATTCTTACCGTAATGTTGTATTTGCATAATCATCTCACAAAATAATACTGCATACGGCACATGAAAACAAAACAACTGCAATATATACCACTTGTATTGTATTATAAGACTGTATATTCATTATTACACAGGATATTACTGCAGGGTGATACCAGTTGTCCAGTCCCAACTGACCAAGACGATTCGGAAGATCCATCAACGTGCCCCTCTTATCTCGTGAAAGAAGTGGACCCAACGAGAATCCCGTCTTCCATTGTGCACGCGCGCTGTCGATGTGAGAATTGTCAAATCTCGGGACTGCGGAGTAGGCGCAGACAACAGTACGCATGCGAGCCAGTGTACCGCTTCCTTCCGGTCCTCAAGAGACAAAGCACGTGCATCGATGGAGAGTATCAATACGCCTTAGTTCATCAGAGAGTGGCCGTGTCGTGTCACTGTGTGAGGAGTAGAAATAATCGCGCCAAATTGTCGACCAGTTTTAAATCTCCTGAAAACTTTATGTAGGGATTTCAGTATGCATTGCGCAATGTCAAATGTTTGGTGTGGTGGTAATAAATTGTCCTTTGTTTTAAAATCAGTGTTGTGTGGTAAATAACTTCAGTAAGAAAAAAAAGCATGTTCCCTTAACAAACAGTATTATAATGTTTATTTCATATTATTATTTACCATCTTTTATTTAATTAATACGTCTACACTGACATTCAGTCAATAATCATTGATCCCGCAAACTGTAGTTATTATCTCATAAGGTGACCACAGAACGTGACACTTTTCAATGGAGTGGAAAACAATACATGTGGAAGAGATTTCAGTAAAGTTCAGTAAAAAGAGGTAAATAGAGCTATAGAGGACGAATAGTGAATACTTTCCCGGCGGCCCAGTACGTATGTGTATATATGAAACACGGCTTACGTCTTCCATTGATATGATGAAGAGAGACCACCTGAACCGACACTTATTGACCCGTATAGATAATAACATGAATAATAGCAGGTGTTTGTTTAGTAAAACTGCTTATCTATAATCGAAAAATTAGAATAAGCATAAAGGTTGTTTCCAAACAGCAATTGTTAAATAAATTGTTAACCTTCTCACGTCTCCGTTTTTTGACAGATGATATTATTTCAAATCACTTTCCTGGTGACAATATGACCATATCGCATGCATGTAGGATATAAGTTTCAAAGGTTGGGCAGAATTATGGACATATACCGAGACATGTGACGTCATGCCTATGAAAGATGAATATAATCTATAACCCCTTGTGTGAAGTAAACAGATAAATATCAACCAGAGGGTTAGGTTTTGGAAGTTGAGGTTTTACAAGATGCTTAACTTCAAAAATCTTATCCCGAAGCTTAATTTATCTCTGTTGGCATCACATAGTAGAAATGGAATGTTTCAAAGTTTCATACCGTAAAAATAAAGTGATATGGTGAATCCATTACATCGTGCCATCATCCAAAGCGCAGTAAAAGTGTGACAAATTTGATGACGTTACCCTGGTTACTCTGCATAATGTGATGACGCGATGATGACGTTTTAAGAATGATAGCGAGCGTAAGTTACCTTTTCCCTAGATAGATTAAGACAGTTGTATCTCTTCCCTAGCAAGATACGGAAATGCAGCCATGCAGTGAGGGAGAAAAATGTATCGTACATGGCTTTCCATGATAGGAAAATTCCATTTTACATGGCCGACTATGTAAGAAAGTAATACACATGCTGAGTTAAGTTAGTGTTTTAATGCACGTCAAGAGCGTGACCAGAAAAATAGTGAGGAGATTGAAATATCAACAAATCAGTTTGTAATTTAAAACTATTTAAAAAGTATCTATGGTGTATAGCAAGCTTTAAGTGAGTGTAAAGAATCATGAAAACATTGATTTGATTACAACTGATATATTAGGATACCGTAGCGAGCAACCCCAGACACACCCATCCAACAGCTAGGCTTCCATGGTAACCCATATTTTCTCAATTTATGCTTAATATGTATGCTAACGAGTTAGCTTTAAATTAGGTGGGGAAATTGATTAAAATTCTACGGGGTTTTTTCCTGTCTGTATCTGTGACATACAAACCTATATAATGTAACTAGCTAGGACATATATCAGTCTTAACAACCGGGATTTACGACTGAACTCCGTCTCGTTTTAGTCTCAATTTACATTCCATGAAATGGTTTATACTAGTAAATCATTGTCTTATATATAAGCGTGTTACATGGCTACAGAGATGAATGAGAGATTTGTTTTATATCTCATGTAAAGGTTAATTTCTCGTTTTCAATTCTGACGTGTTACAAACACAATTATATATTAATTAGCATTCCTCAGAATGGTTTATAGATCAATTTTAGCTATATCTGTGTGTTTGTGTTATATGCCTACAGAGGTCGGTGAGAAAAAATCCAGATTGTATACAAAGGTATTTTTTTCTTTCACATTGATGTTTTACAAACAGAACCAAACATGTTCTGTTCTTTCATTAGGTTCTGGATGTTCGTGACACTCAACAATGGATAGAAAATGAAATAGAATCACTAACATACAAAATAACTAATGATCTACCAAAACATCCTAAACATCAGGATACAACAACAAGGACTGAGGGGACATCACAAACATCAGGTCACAACAACAAGGACTGAGGAGACATCACAAACATCAGGACACAACAACAAGGACTGAGGGGACATCACAAACAGCAGGTCACAACAACAAGGACTGAGGAGACATCCGAAACATCAGGATACAACAATTGGGACTGAGGAGAGATCACAAACACTAGTATACAACAACAAGAACTGAGGAGACAAAAAAACATCAGGACACAACAACAAGGACTGAGGGGACATCACAAACATCAGGCCACAACAACAAGGACTGAGGAAACATCACAAACATCATGATAAAACAACAGGGACTGAGGAGACATCACAAACATCAGGACACAACAACAAGGACTGAGGGGTCATCACAAACATCAGGCCACAACAACAATGACTGAGGAAACATCACAAACATCATGATAAAACAACAGGGACTGAGGAGACATCCGAAACATCAGGATACAACAATTGGGACTGAAGAGAGATCACAAACACCAGTATACAACAACAAGAACTGAGGAAACATAAAAACATCAGGACACAACAACAAGGACTGAGGGGACATCACAAACATCAGGCCACAACAACAATGACTGAGGAAACATCACAAACATCATGATCAAACAACAAGGACTGATGAAACATCACAAACATCATGATAAAACAACAGGGACTGAGGAGACATCACAAACATCAGGTCACAACAACAAAGACTGAGGAGACATCACAAACATCAGGTCACAACAACAAGGACTGAGGAGACATCCGAAACATCAGGATACAACAATAGGGACTGAGGAGAGATCACAAACATCAGTATACAACAACAAGAACTGAGGAGACATAGAAACATCAGGACATTACAACAAGGACTGAGGGTACATCACAGCCATCAGGTCACAACAACAATGACTGAGGAAACATCACAAACAACATGATAAAACAACAAGGACTGATGAAACATCACAAACATCATGATAAAACAACAGGGACTGAGGAGACATCACAAACATCAGGCTACAACAACAGAGACTGAGGAGACATCACAAACATCAGGATACAACAAGGACTGCACAGACATCACAAACATCAGTATACAACAACAAGTACTGAGGAGACATAAAAACATCAGGCTACAACAGCAAGGACTGAGGAGACATCAGAAACATCAGTCTACAACAACAAGGACTGAGGAGACATCAGACACATCAGGCTACAACAACAGGGACTGAGGAGACATCACAAACATCAGGCTACAACAACAATGGCTGATGAGACATCAGACACATCAGACTACAACAACAATGGCTGAGGAGACATCAGACACATCAGGCTACAATAACAAGGACTGAGGAGACATCACAAACATCAGGATACAACAGCAAGGACTGAGGAGACATCACAAACATCAGGATACAACAAAAAGGACTGAGGAGACATCAGACACATCAGGCTACAACAACAGGGACTGAGGAGACATCACAAACATCAGGATACACAAACAAAAACTGAACAGATATCACAAACATCAGGATACAACAACAAGGACTTGGGAGATATCGCAAACATCATGACCTAACAACAAAGATAGAGGAGAGATCAGAAACACAAGGACACAACAATAGCGACTGAGGAGACATCACAAACATCAGGCTACAACAGGAACAAAGGAGGCACCAAAGCAAAGGCAAAAGACAACAACAGGAGCCGATGAGACACCAACACAAAAGTGCAATGATAACAAAAGTACAATGATAACAAAAGTACAATGATAACAAAAGTACAATGATAACAAAAGTCATGCGCCACTAAAAAATATTTTTATTTATTGATACACAATATTAATACTTAGAAATTAACAACAAATGTCACAAAGTATTGAAATGAGTTTTCTTTATTGTTGGTGTTAGTCGTTATTAAATTTAATTTGATTTTAATCACGTGCACGTTCTCATATAAAAGAAGGGATTTTTTTTTCAAATAACTTCAAGCACAATACATGTAATAAGTAATTATAAATCTTCATTATGATATTCTGATGACTTTATCGTCAAGCTGATAGGAGCATCGTCTACGGAACCAGTGATCTGAAAAGACATACACAAATACATTGTAATTAACGTAGCTAATAAATTAATATATAAACGTCACGTTAACTAGTGTGATACATACCAATAGTGGACCATCAAAGTGTGTATGATGTGTGATCAGTAAAATAAGACTTAACTTGTATGTAATCAGTATAATAAGACTTAACTTATATGTCATCGGTATAATAAGACTTAACTTGTATGTAATCGGTATAATAAGACTTAACTTGTATATGATCAGTAAAATAAGACTTAACTTGTATGTGATCAGTAAAATAAGACTTAATTTCTATATAATCAATAAATAAGACATAGCTTGTATGTAATCAGTAAATATGACATAACTTGTATGTGATCAATAAAATAAGACTTAACTTGTATATGATCAGTAAAGTAAGACATTACTTGTACGTGATCAGTAAAATAAGACTTAACTTGTATGTGATCAGTAAAATAATACTTAACTTGTATGTGATCAGTAAAAATATGACATAGCTTGTATGTGATCAGTAAGATAAGACTTAACTTGTATGTGATCAGTAAAATAAGACTTAACTTGTATGTGATCATACCGGAGGTGACACCGGGTGACCCGGAAGGAAACCCGTTCTATGTACCAAATATTGCTCCCGCCATAACGTTTCCGGTTAATTAAAGAAAATAGGAAGTACGTATAATCATGGAGGTATAAGTTTGGCTCACCTACGACAGGTCAACAGCAGGTACGGACTCTCCTTCCTCTGTGTCAGGGCTATTGCCAAGGTCAAGGTCAAGACCAGAATCACTGGCAACACGAAACATCATGGTTATATGTGCAATGTTTAAATACGAGCTTTTAATAGAAATAATACTGTAATCCCCAATATATTCGTCAGGAAAATCTACTTTAGGTTTCAAAAGAATTTTCAGAGCGTTACAGTTTGATCATGTATGGGTTAATATCTTCTTCGGTGGCATATGTCTACCATCGACTTTATAATCACGGAAAATGTAAAAATATGTCGACATAATTTAAACGTTATTGCAACTTATTCACAGGGTATGTCGACATCTTTTAAAAATTATAACGACATACGTAACTCGTAAGTCGAAAGTCGATGGCAGAACTATATCACCATAACATTCCGTATCTTTAATAGTTAGAATATATAGAAAATCAGTTCTATCAGGTAACTTACTCGGCAAGGTTCTGTAAGTGATCTCGCACTGTGTCCAAGTGATCCTCCATCTTGTCCCCTAGGCGGTCCAGGTGGTCCCTGACGTTCTCGTGGTGTGTCCTCAGCTCCTCCCCAGTGCGCTGTATGTGTTCTCTGGCCGTTTGCAAATGTTGCTGTACAGCAGTGGCAGCATTATTGAGATGGTGACGTGCACTTTCCAAAATATTATCAAAAATTCCTCGCTTCTGTAAAAAGAAAATCGGTCGTGAGTTGGTTATATGTGCAAATACCTTGTCATTTTGAACTGATCTCCACTACATTAACTTATCCTGTGTTCGAACTTAACGGTAGGCCTATAGCTTATCCAGTGTTCTAACTTAACGGTAGACCCATAGCTTATTCAGTGTTCGAACTTAACGGTAGGCCTATAGCTTATTTAGTGCTCTAACTTAACGGTAGAGCCATATAGCGTATCCAGTGCTTTAACTTAACGGTAGACCCATAGCTTATCTAGTGTTCTAACTTAACGGTAGGCCTATAGCTTATCCAGTGTTCGAACTTAACGGTAGACCCAGAACTTATCCAGTGTTCTAACTTAACGGTAGACCTATAGCTTATCTCTATAGCTTATCTAGTGTTCTAACTTAACTGTATAACTAGAACTTATCAAGTGTTCTAACTTAACGGTAGGCCTATAACCTATAAATAGTGTTCGAACTTAACGGTAGACCCAGAGCTTATCCAGTGTTCGAACTTAACGGTAGACCCAGAACTTATCCAGTGTTCTAACTTAACGGTAGGCCTATAACCTATCTAGTGTTCGAACTTAACGGTAGAACCAGAGCTTATCTAGTGTTCTAACTTCTTAACGGTAGACCCATAGCTTATCCAGTGTTCGAACTTAACGGTAGACCCATAGCTTATCCAGTGTTCTCACTTAACGGTAGGCCTATAGCTTATCCAGTGTGCAAACTTATCGGTAGATCCATAGCTTTTCTAGTGTTCTAACTTAACGGTAGGCCTATTACTTATCTAGTGTTCTAACTTAACGGTAGACCTATAGCTTATCTAGTGTTCTAACTTAACGGTAGGAGTGTTCTAACTTAATGGTAGACCCATATAGCTTATCCAGTGCTCTAACTTAACGGTAGACCCATAGGTTATCCAGTGTTCGAACTTAACGGTAGACCCATAGCTTATCCCGTGTTCTCACTTAACGGTAGGCCTATAGCTTATCCAGTGTTCTAACCTAACGGTAGACCCATAGCTTATCCAGTGTTCTCACTTAACGCTTATCCAGTGCTCTAACTTAACGGTAGACCCATAGGTTATCCAGTGTTCGAACTTAACGGTAGACCCATAGCTTATCTAGTGTTCTAACTTCTTAACGGTAGACCCATAGCTTATCCAGTGTTCTCACTTAACGGTAGGCCTATAGCTTATCCAGAGTGCAAACTTATCGGTAGATCCATAGCTTTTCTAGTGTTCTAACTTAACGGTAGGCCTATTACTTAGCTAGTGTTCTAACTTAACGGTAGACCCAGAGCTTATCCAGTGTTCTAACTTAACGGTAGGCCTATAACCTATCTAGTGTTCGAACTTAACGGTAGGCCCATAGCTTATCCAGTGTTCTAACTTAACGGTAGGTGTTCGAACTTAACGGTAGGCTTATAGCTTATCTAGTGTTCTAACTTAACGGTAGGAGTGTTCTAACTTAATGGTAGACCCATATAGCTTATCCAGTGCTCTAACTTAACGGTAGACTCACAGATTATCTAGTGTTCGAATTTAACGGTAGGCTTATAGCTTATCTAGTGTTCGAACTTAACGGTAGGCTTATAGCTTATCTAGTGTTCTAACTTAACGGGAGACCTATAGCTTATCTAGTGTTCTAACTTAACGGGAGACCTATAGCTTATCTAGTGTTCTAACTCAACGGTAGACCTATAGCTTATCTAGTGTTCTAACTCAACGGTAGACCTATAGCTTATCTAGTGTTCTCACTTAACGGTAGACCTATAGCTTATCTAGTGTTCTAACTTAACGGTAGGCCTATTACTTATCTAGTGTTCTAACTAACGGTAGACCCAGAGCTTATCCAGTGTTCGAACTTAACGGTAGACCTATAGCTTATCAAGTGTTCGAACTTAACGGTAGGCCTATAGCGTATCTAGTGTTCGAACTTAACGGTAGGCCTATAGCTTATCCAGTGTTCTAACCTAACGGTAGACCCATAGCTTATTCAGTGTTCGAACTTAACGGTAGGCCTATAGCGTATCTAGTGTTCGAACTTAACGGTAGGCCTATAGCTTATCTAGTGTTCGAACTTAACGGTAGACCCATAGCTTATCCAGTGTTCTAACTTAACGGAGACCCATCGCTTATCCAGTGCTCTAACTTAACGGTAGACCCATAGCTTATCCAGTGTTCGAACTTAACGGTAGGCCTATAGCGTATCTAGTGTTCGAACTTAACGGTAGGCCTATAGCTTATCCAGTGTTCGAACTTAACGGTAGGCCTATAGCGTATCTAGTGTTCGAACTTAACGGTAGGCCTACAGCTTATCTAGTGTTCGAACTTAACGTTAGACCCATAGCTTATCCAGTGTTCTAACTTAACGGAGACCCATAGCTTATCCAGTGCTCTAACTTAACGGTAGACCCATAGCTTATCCAGTGTTCGAACTTAACGGTAGGCCTATAGCTTATCCAGGGTTCGAACTTAACGGTAGACCCATAGCTTATTCAGTGTTCGAACTTAACGGTAGGCCTATAGCGTATCCAGTGTTCGAACTTAACGGTAGGCCTATAGGGTATCCTGTGTTCGAACTTAACGGTAGGCCTATAGCTTATCTAGTGCTCTAACTTAACGGTAGAGCCATATAGCGTATCCAGTGCTCTAACTTAACGGTAGACCCATAGCTTATATAGTGTTCTAACTTAACGGTAGGCCTATAGCTTATCCAGTGTTCTAACTTAACGGTAGACCTATAGCTTATCTAGTGTTCTAACTTAACTGTATAACTAGAACTTATCCAGTGTTCTAACTTAACGGTAGGCCTATAACCTATAAATAGTGTTCGAACTTAACGGTAGACCCAGAGCTTATCTAGTGTTCTAACTTCTTAACGGTAGACCCATAGCTTATCCAGTGTTCTCACTTAACGGTAGGCCTATAGCTTATCCAGTGTGCAAACTTATCGGTAGATCCATAGCTTATCTAGTGTTCTACGGTAGGCCTATAGGGTATCCTGTGTTCGAACTTAAACTTAACGGTAGACCCAGAGCTTATCCAGTGTTCTAACTTAACGGTAGACCCATAGCTTATCCAGTTTTCGATCTTAACTGTAGGCCTATAGGGTATCCTGTGTTCGAACTTAACGGTAGGCCTATAGCTTATCTAGTGCTCTAACTTAACGGTAGAACCATATAGCGTATCCAGAGTTCTAACTTAATGGTAGACCCATATAGCTTATCCAGTGCTCTGACTTAACGGTAGACTCACAGCTTATCTAGTGTTCGAACTTAACGGTAGCCCCATAGCTTATCCAGTGTTCTAACTTAACGGTTGACCTATTGCTTATCCATTGTTCGAACTTAACGGTAGGCCTATAGGGTATCCAGTGTTCGAACTTAACGGTAGGTCTATAGCTTTTCCAGTGTTCGAAGTTAACGGTAGACCCATAGCATATCTAGTGTTCTAACTTAACTGTATAACTAGAACTTATCCAATATTCTAACTTAACGATAGGCCTATAACCTATCTAGGTTTCGAACTTAACGGTAGACCCAGAGCTTATCTAGTGTTCTAACTTCTTAACGGTAGACCCAGAGCTTATCCAGTGTTCTAACTTAACGGTAGACTCAGAACTTATCCAGTGCTCTAACTTAACGGTAGGCCTATAACCTATCTAGTGTTCGAACTTAACGGTAGACCCATAGCTTATCTAGTGTTCTAACTTCTTAACGGTAGACCCATCGCTTATCCAGTGTTCGAACTTAACGGTAGACCCATAGCTTAACCAGTCTTCTAACTTAACGGTAGACCTATAGCTTATCCAGTGTTCGAAATTAACGGTAGACCTATAGCTTATCAAGTGTTCGAACTTAACGGTAGACCTATAGCTTATCAAGTGTTCGAACTTAACGGTAGGCCTATAGCTTATCCAGTGTTTTAACTTAACGGTAGACCCATAGCTTATCTAGTGTTCTAACTTAACGGTAGGCCTAATACTTATCCAGTGTTCGAACTTAACGGTAGACCCAGAGCTTATCCAGTTTCTAACTTAACGGTAGACCCATAGCTTATCCAGTGCTCTAACTTAACGGTAGACCCATAGCTTATCCAGTGTTCTAACTTAACGGTAGACCCACAGCATATCTAGTGTTCAAACTTAATGGTAGGCCTATAACCTATCTAGTGTTCGAACTTAACGGTAGGCCTATTACTTATCCAGTGTTCGAACTTAACGGTAGACCCATAGCTTATTCAGTGTTTGAACTTAACGGTAGGTCTATAGCTGATCTAGTGCTCTAACTTAACGGTAGAACCATATAGCGTATCCAGTGTTCTAACTTAACGGTAGACCCATATAGCTTATCCAGTGTTCTAACTTAACGGTAGGCCTATATCTTATCCAGTGTTCGAACTTAACGGTAGAGCCAGAACGTATCCAGTGTTTGAACTTAACGGTAGACTCAAAGCTTATCTAGTGTTCGAACTTAACGGTAGGCTTATAGCTTATCTAGTGTTCTAACTTCTTAACGGTAGCCCCAGAGCTTATCCAGTGTTCTAACTTAACGGTAGACCTATAGCTTATCCATTGTTCGAACTTAACGGTAGGCCTATAGCGTATCCAGTGTTCGAACTTAACGGTAGGCCTATAGCTTATCTAGGGTTCTAACTTAACGGTAGGCCTATTACTTATCTAGTGTTCTAACTTAACGGTAGGCCTATAGCGTATCCAGTGTTCTAACTTAACGGTAGACCCATAGTTTATCCAGTGTTCTAACTGAACGGTGACCCATATAGCTTATCTAGTGTTCGAACTTAACGGTGACCCATATAGCTTATCTTGTGTTCGAACTTAACGGTAGGCCTATAGCTTATCCAGTGTTCGAACTTTACCGTAGACCCATAGCTTATTTAGTGTTTTAAGTGACCGCGAGATTCTTTTAATGTACATCAAAGGATCGAACTAATCGTCTTGTCTCAACACGGTGGCACACATTCAGCCTTCAATTGTGTTATGACATAGTCAAGGGGTGCAGCGAGTTTAAATGAGCGTAACCAATGGGTTATCCAGGTAAAGAATTGATAAGCTTCGAAGTCGGGCGTCTCTCCTTTGTAATCTTCAAAGGATATGTATCAGCCTAGCGATTGGTCAGTTGTTGTTTTTTTTACTTGAGACCAATCCAATAGCTAGCCACATGCCTCGCAAACATGAAAAATTCAAAACTTGTATCGTAAATCTTATATTTGGGAAACTTATGACAGATCCTCTCTTTATAGTAAGACACATGCTGTGATGGTCTTAAGACACACGAGTTACTTCCCTTCTTGTGACTAAATATATTTCTACTCATAACGCGTTTAGCATCGCAAATCAAAAGTACACCAATTGAAATATTGTTTACGTAATATGAGTTATTCATAAATAGATGTATTTACTGATTTATTATTCTGCTCATTGCTCCCCTCGTCCATCCATTAACTGGTAAATTATTCACCTGAACGACAATGATTAATTCACATGATGATTGATCGATCGATGATTCTTTCTTTTTATCAAAATGTGCATCAATTCGTCAATCTAAGTATCAAGGACACTACTAATTCAGCCAGTTAAATTAGTCAATATTTCGTTTCGTTTTATTTTATTTACCAGAAACAGTTGTAATGCACATCTTGGCATTGGTACAGGCAGCCTCGATATACAAGGGTTACGCCCACTTCCGCTAAGCTTAACCCCTGGATATCGAGGATGCGATACTCCAGGGGTCACACTAACTTTAGCTCCCTGCACCCCTGGAATGTGTCATCGCAAAATGAAGGTACTCATGTAAACAAAACCCTGACCAATCACAAGGCTGATACATGTCCTTTAAAGGTGAGAGAGGAGCGACACCCGACTTCAAAGCCAGCCAATTTTACCGTTACGCAACCGACAGATTCCTTTGAGGAACCTAAAAGGATCAAACTTGTCGTACCGTCTCGTCCACAATGCACTGCACACTGAGCCTTCAATGTTGCATGATATGAACACAAATTACAATGACATATTCCAGAGATGCAGGTGCAGTAAGTGAGCGTAACCGCTTGTGTGTTGAGAATGGTGTCAGGGGTGCAGAGAGCGAAAGTGAGCGTAACCCCTGAGTGTCGAGATTGACTCCAGGGTTGCGGAGATCGAAAGTGAGTGTAACCCCTGGAGTATTGAGATTGCGAGCGTAAAGTATCGAGTATGAGTTCTTGACAGCGTTACAGGGGTCCTTAATTTATTTTTATAATTATCTGTACTAAGCGTAACACTTACGACGAGGGTGTGCTCCCGTACAGGGACAGCCTCGGCGAAAACCACAACCAGGGACACCAACAGTATCAGCTTCATGTTCACCATCTTGTTTCTGTTAAATAAATTAGATATATTAATTAATAACAATATTTAGACAAAGGAAAGATTCACATGGGTGTCCGTTAAAAAGACAAAGATAGCATAAGACTGAGCGTGACCTTGAAAATATTATAATTTTATATACATATTTTTTGTTACAAGAAGTAAGAAAATACCAAAGTGGCGGGAGAAATCATGACCCTTACCATCATAGTGAAAGAAACGATTAGGTTCCGGAAATTCTGATTTCTTCTCCAGTGTTTATGGCAGATGTTGTCGAAAAGCTAAAGACGGTTTAACTTTTCGAAACATCTAGCGTAATTCCCTTTTACTTTTTTCAATGTTCCCCGCGTGACATTTCTTAGTTCATATTTTGCCCTTGTTTAAATGATTTTAAGTTAAAATTAAGATTTTGTTGACACTTCGGTATTCTCAACCATGTTTTCATTTGACCTTCAATATTAATCAAGTTTAGAAGTCAAAAAGCATTTCCCTAGAAGTTGGGGGGAGTCAAAACACGTGATTCAAAGCTCATTTGGGGAGTCTTAAACATACTCTCAAGGGTCTATTGAAAGTCCTGTTCTTGTTGTTGTTCAGGGACGGATTCAGGAATATTGAAAAGGAGCGGTCTAAATTTCAAAAAATAAATAAATAAAGAAGCATGAAGAATTAGTTTGTTTTGAACACAAACAGGAATTGAAAACTAGTCTTTATAATTCATACCCAACTGATGTACATTATTCCGAATATAAAGAAGCAACAACAATGTGTATCCATTGTCACGATTAATAGTCAGGCAACCATTAATTCTATTATTTCGCCAGTATTTATTGGGACACAAACAAGAAAATAAGACTGGTCGTTGTTCCTTTTGCAATGTCAAGTTCTAGAGAAAAAAGTATCGCAATAAGTTAAATCGGGAACCGTCGGCATTTTCCGTTTCCCGTTTACGGAAAGTGCCGACGGTTCCCTTCCCGACTGACAAAGTTCAGAAATTTACAGAAATATCAAAGTCATTTAGAACTGAATCTAGTTCTTCAAATATTGGTCAGCTTAACGTGTGGTAGTCACGAATTTACAAAATTGTATTTAAGACAAAGAGTTGAATACATGTTTAACATGCACGCTCATTTAAATGGTATGTATCAAAAGTAGTTTTTTTCAAATTGAAAGATTTGAACTCGAACTTGAAGACGTCAACTTTGTGCTGTTAAACTAACCAGGCTTTTATCAGCCAAACCCTGGTGACAACATACATACTAAGTTCACCCAAGGTCATCTGCGTGGTTTACGTCTTAATTAAATTATACAGATTTCATTAAAATGATGAATATTTTTTTTATTAAATCATCTTGTTTAAACTGAACTGATTTTTAACTTGAAAGGGAAAATACATATTAACGAATACGATTTTATAAAACAACGAGTTGTTATTTCCAATATATAATAAGATTACATGTACATCAGATTTATTAGTCATTGCAGTTGCTTACGTGTCAGCTAATTGTAGGTAAACCTGTTATCGTACAAAGTCTAATGCTATTTATGATAACCGTATCTGAGGAAGTATGGTGTCAACAAGCACAGGGGCCTGCTAATTAGTTACAGATACTTTTGGACCTAAACTAAGGTTTTCAGAGTATTTTGATACATATACATTGTAACATCATTAGGGATAGCATTTTTACCGAAAGTTTATCTAAACCCCTAAAACGTGTAAAACTACTCTGAACACCTTAGTTTAGGTCCAAAAACAGCTGCAACGAATTATCAGGTCCCTGTGTCAACCAGTACAAGAAATGTGTTGATCTCGCAAGCTTTGCGAGTTCACATAACAAGGTGAAATATAAACAAAACAAACAAAAAATGAAGTCAACAACTTAATTAGTATCATAAATTACACTCGAGTTAAAGTTCTTTATTACTTTACAGCTCGACAGTATAAATAAACATAAACTTAAAATATAAATATAAAAGGCCCGGATTTTAACACGCGGAGGGTCTTAATGTGGAAGGAAACCGGAGTACCCGAAGCAATCCTGCGTAACCCATAGCTTGATCATCAGTATGCCGCCAATACAGTGCAAACTATAAACAGTGCAAACAAGACATGAATACAAACAGCATGATAGAAACACAAATTACAAAGACGGAATTACAACCAATGTGAGGGGATAAAATCACATCACTACACAGCATCAGATCTTATCTTATAAATATGTATTAAATACTTTCCGGGGTTCGGTATATCTTTCGTATTATATATTTTCTCATTTGACGACAACATTTCTGATAACTTTCACATACTTGGGCTTCGAATATTATAGTTTTGATGTAATTCTTGCTGAAGTCCGCGACATTTTAATACCAAACGAAATTCATCTTCTGATATATCTCCTAATTGACACAAAGTACACAACCTCCGACTATTATGATACAAATGGAAGCAGGCAGGTACTTAAATATTGATGATGTGATGACAGGAACTTTTTGTAATTTCCTTCAAACTTTGATTATAAACCACTTGAATATTTTTTTTTGCAATTCAAACAAATGTATAATCAGTGCCAACTTCAAACACACAAAACGTTACATAAAACATTTGATGAGTAAGAGATGAAGATTAAGTTTCCAACCCTCATCTGAATCATTTTAGTATAATTTATCTTGTGTTGTGAAAATAAATTATTGTTCAAATCAATAAATTGGAAATTTTTACTCTCAATCAATCTTAGCACTATTTAAAATAAACATGAATAACGATTATATTATGATACGTCATGAATATTCATAATATTGTGAAATTGAAATTCCATTTCATTGTACATGTCCTTATGCTAAATAAACAAAACTAATGTTAAAATCAAAATAGCTATATTCATCCTTACCTTCTCAATAAAAACGCTCCTTCTTTTCGTGTAGTCGTATGGGAAATGACAATCTATTGATTTGACTCACTTGTACCGACTCTGAACTCTGACCTCAACAGTCACACTGACCTTTGACCCAAGGGAAGCTGTGCTCATCCGATACAAACCTGAAATTGCTTACAACCCTCGCCCACTGATAAACAGACTCAGATATATAGTTGTATTGATGACGATGGTTTGGGATCAGGTTATCATGTTTATTGCTAATTGACCAAAAGTTAAGTTATCTTATTAGTGTAAATATTTTAACAGATCAAAGTATGATTATACAAATCTTATCAAAACAAATACAATGTCCATTCGTCCAAATCAGTTTTACGTATTCAAACCTCGAATGTTTAGTACACATCTTTAACTATCTATAAAATAATTTTCAAAAAGGTGATTTTATCAAGCTAACCAGAGTTACTAAACTGTTCGGCCTTGAATGACAAATCATATATTAAGCTTCAGAAACATACGAGCCGCGTTGTTCTTGCACATTGTACGATCACGCGCTAAGCCTCTGTAATCGCAATTAAGGGTTTTGTTCAAAGTCCGGAAAATAGGTTCAGCATACAAGTTATTAACCACCTTTATCAGACAAAACTATAAACTAAACCCACTTTTCTCTGTCAACAGGACTAAAGTACAGAATACGGGAAGTTTAAAATAGAGCAGATCACATACTAACAAACGTAAAATCTATAATCGTATTTAAAACACTGGTACTTAGAAAAATGTTTCTTTTTAATAGGACAACAAGGATATACTATATATAGACAAAGGCATGTTCAAAACACGTTTAGTACGAATTACCAATAATATTAGTTATACACAGGAACATAAGAATATGAATCAGCTAATCTCTCTAAAATAACTCAGAAAGGCTACTTTTTTTGGGGAAACATCTGGGCTCGTATTCATTAACCAGTTCTCAAGTGAAGCTTCTGTGCTCAAGTCAAGTTCCTACTTCCGGCGACAAAATAGGTAAAGTTTACATTTTTCAGCGACGTAGAAAGATTTTGGAGAGACTTAAAGCCGAATTTACCGTTTTCATTTTAAATCCTGGACTTTTTGACTGTGTCATGTGATTTTTATCAAGTTACAATGTTCAAGAAAGTGGTTTGGAGTACAGAATTGATGCTTGAGCGTGAAAACAGTTTCATGAATACAGACCCTGAATGGCAAGAGCCGAGAGTCCATTGCTATATTTTAGTTTGTCTTATGTGTCAATTCGTAATTAAATGTAGACATTCTGAATTTGAAGGTTTTTTTATTTGAAACGTTACGTCATTCCATTATCAGATTCGGACACCCACAGGTACTAGGGTATTCCTTATCAGAATGAGTGAAGAAAACGGTATCCGAAGTCATCCAACATACTATAAAATCATTTATTTTCGCGGGGTTAAAATTTCGTGGTTTTCATATACTAGCCTGTTTCAAGGACATTATATTTTGCTGATTTCTGATTTTCCCCCATATCTATATCATACCGAATTTATTTTTTTGTTGGGATTTAATTTCGCGGATTTTTTTTATCCATGAAATAAACGAAAGTTATTGTTACACGAAAATTCATGATTTACAGTATGTATTATAATTGAAACGGAGGGAGCATCTTAATGCTCTACAGAAAAGATTGGTTAAACGATGAAATGGATAAACAGACGTTATTTGTTTGACAGATTTACTTTATATACAATTGTTGTTTTATAATTATAAATCTAATATAAAAGCCGTTATTTTTTTATTTTCCCCCAACCTTCACGAGTTTGCATAAATTGGCAGAATAACCGAGAAATAACATCGAAAAAACGTGAGTTGGAAGAATCTAGTACTGGTGTTTCTGGTAAGTCGTCTTGGTGGTAGCAGCCTGTTTTCTTTACTGATGGCAACGATACCTATGTCTATCTTGTATATCATCACTAGTCTAGCTTCCTTCCTTCTTTCTTGTAGTGGTTTCCACCCGAGCATTGGAAGCATATCAGAGACGCTGGACGTGTTCCGATACCGGTTCGTGACATACATTGTACCTCGCAGCTCTTGTCTGGGTGTGTTCAATGATGTTGATGTTTTTGTGGGTGTGCGGGGTCCGATACGGAGGATGCATATTCAAGCAAAGGTCTAACCAGGCTAGCGTCTTGATCTTGGTAGATGTAATCTTCATATTTATCCGTAGGATGTTATGTGATCTTAATGTGGGTGTCTCATTTAAGGTTGTTTGCTATGGCGACACCTAGGTAGGGGGCTGTGTCGACCTCCCGCAGATAGTGGCACTGTAAGTGATAGTTGGTCTTGATTGGGTTTCTCTTGTTGGTGAGTCTAAGGATATCACACTTGTCAGGATGGAATTCCATGCACTATAACCGTTCCCATTTGGTCAGCTTTGCGAGGTCCTCCTGTAGGGTCGTACCACTGTCCTCTGATGTGATGGTGAGATAGGCTATGGTGTCGTCCGCTAAGAGGCTGATGGTGGGATGAAGAGACTTGGTCCTAGGCCCGGGACTCCGGAATCGACACTTACCGGGGTGGAGCTCTCACCTTCCACAACGACAGTTCGTGTTCTTCCAGCCAGCCAGTACTCGAACAAAGAGTTCAGTTTTCCGCATATCCCGTATTTACTGAGTTTGTGGATGAGGAGACGGAGGGATTGTTTCCTTCTCCGTGAGTCATTATGGTAGAAGTCAGGATGTGCTCCATAATTTTTGCAGCAGACAGAGGTGAGGGAGATTCGCCTGTAATTTGAAGCATCATGCTGATGTCCCTTCTTGAAGGTTTGGGTTGCATTAGCAGTGTGTCAGTCGTCCGGTATCACACCTGTTACTAGGGATTTCCGAAATAGTAGGTGGAGCAGTGGGGCAGTGCTTGCGTGTGTTTCCCTCAATACTCGTGGCGGGATGCTGAGGTTCCAGAGCAATTTGTATTGATGAGGAATTAGAAACGATATGTATGCTAACATAAACATATTTAGTGCGCAGTTGCGCTGACATTTAATGATAATTTCGCACGAGAGTGCTGTCGTGAACATCTCTCAACTGTTCGACGAAGCTTGCGCAGACAGCAAGAGTCTGGTTGAACGAGACTATCAACAGACCCGATTTCAAGAATGAAAGTCCGCCAATGTACTTCCTCAAATCAGATGGAGGATATCGTAGGGTTACAGGTTACATTGCCTAGCAGGACACTCGCGCAATCAAAATGTTTTTGCTCAACTGCGATAAATATCGGTCTGTATTTTCACTGCTAAATCCTCAATATCGGCAGTAAGAAAAATATATTTGTTTCTGCACATCAATGAATTTATTATAAGTTTGGAATTTGTTTTTTTTTTCCAATTTGTTCATTAAACTTGGTAAAATGACCAGACCCTTTATAAATCAGACCCTGTATAAATCAGACCATGCATAAATCAGACCCTGTATAAACCACACCATGCATAAACCAGACCCTGTATATACCAGACCATGTATAAATCAGACCATTTATAAACACCATGTTTAACCAGACCCTGTATAAACCTGACCCTGTATAAACAAGACCATGTATAAACCACACCATGTATAAATCTCCAGCACACACGCAGACATATACACATAGGGAGATATTAGACAGGTGGCATAGGACTAATAGTTAGCACCTGATAAGGCAGCTCCTGCAAATTCCTCAAAATTGTATTGATTAATGAATATGCTAATTGTATTCATTGCATATCTATGTACTGTAAAGCGCTTCAGAGTCGCTGATGTAAGGTAGAAAGGGCGCTATATCAAATGCTGTATATTATTATTTATTATAATGAAAGCAATGCATTTAATAGTGAATACATTTTTTTGCGTCAATTTTGAATGTGTAAGGAGTGCTTTGTATATTTTACTAGTGGTGTGACACCTGAAGGGATGTCACAGATGGAATGAAGTGTAGAGGGCAATAACTCTGTTTAAACACGGCTAAAACAGCTATGCAACATGACATTGAAGAAGTTGTTCGAGTGTTTCAGCAAATTTTATCCCTGTGACATTGCATAAGGGTTAAGGGCATTTCCTTTTGCAAAATTTGTCAGCCATGATGCTGCCGTTAAGGCAAAGAAAAAGAAATGAACAAACTCGCAACATCATTTGCGACTAACAGAGTCAACGTGGGGCCGTTGAACAAAAATAAAGGATGAGTTAAATGTGGTGATCCACGATGAATTGGCAGTGAAACTTCTCGACATTTGGCGAGGCCGAACAATATTCATACACTTACGGCAGACGTCAGACATGATGTACGCAATGAATTTTCTATCGAAATATGCTCCTTATATGACAAAATTATTCTATTAAATTTGCCGACTGTCTGTTTAGTTGAAATCATAAATATTTGCATCTTCACACTTAAAAGATCGACAAAGATCGATTTTAACAAGATGTGATGACAAAAAAATACGTCTCTCATCAACTAAAAGTATAAACAACGTCGGTAGACTGTACACCCATGGTGTTTACTCGGCGTTTGGTAGAAGCCATATATCTCTCAACGCACGAGGTAACAAGACAGTGATTGTAATGTGTCTTAAATAGCAATCTTACTCCATGGGCTTGTATGTTTTCACAGGTGTATTTTGCCGTTTATTTTAGACAACACACATGTAGACTGAAAAAAAAAATGTATAAGGTGATATATGTTTTAATTTTTAATTTTACTTTGAATTAGTAAAATGAATTATACAGTATTCGAATAAAATCAACTGATTCATATTAAACACGAATCATATATATAATATTATGGGGCCGGAACGACTAAGAATACGGGGCCGGAACTACGAAGGTTGGAACGACTATGGACGGAACAACTCGGGGGCCCCAACGACTTGTATTCACCTACAACATGCCTTTGATATCGTAAAATGGTAAAAATTACTGGCACTAGTAAAAATTTAATCCAACTCAGTGCTAAAAGTTGAACCGGATAATGATATAAGCGACTAGAACATTTGTTCGTATTTAAAACATGCGCAACAAACTCTTATCTCAATTTTGGCTAGAGGGGGTACCCAAATTGGTTCTGGAAAATTCCACGAAACCCCAGAAATACACCCCATTT